AAATACCCCAGGAATCACACTTCAAAGGAATGAAAACTGATCCTCTCTCCTCTAAAGGAAGGAGCTGTTTAGAATAGCAGGCCCCAGGCCCTTTGCCTATGTCCCCACATTCTGCACCAGCCTAACCTTGTACCCGCTGCCCCTTGCCAGAGGGACCTCCCAAATCACTTCCTTACCATGCAACGGGTAATCGCCACAGAGGATTTATCACACATGTTAAGGCTTTGTCAATGCTAGAGGAAAAAAGACGAAATACCTCACAACTGTTTGGGATTTTTTTTTCCTTTTCTCCAGCCTCAGAGTGTTCGATTGGAGCATTAAGAGGGATTAAACTAGTTGCAGATAAAATTGGAGCAGGCGGTAATGAGGACTGCATGGAGATCATTTCTGTTTGTGGCCTGGTTTTTAAAGGAGCCTGGTTATGATACTATAGTAACTGGTTTTTTTTTTTAAACAATGATTGATTCTTGATAGCATCTTAATAGAAGCATAAATAAGACATAACTCTAATTCTAAACTTAAATAAAGTGGTTTGTGACCTTTTCTCCTTGTTCTGCTGTCAAAATGTAAAGAAATAAAATATTCCAAGTCAGAGTAAATATTTTACTATCTTCGATTTCTCCTCCATATTTATAAGCCAAGTTGAAAGCCAGAGATCTGAGGTCAAGCTGGCGGAGCCCCATTTTCCAGTATCGAAGTCACAGAACTTGAACTCACGCCTGACAGACTCAAGCTCGTTTCGCTTACTCCAGACCTTTCTTAAAGGTCCAGATTTAATATATTTTCGACTCTGTGAGCCACGTGATGACGGTCACCAACCCTCACTGGTGCCTTTGTTTTCGGCAAGCAGGCCGGGGCCACACAGAAACAAAGCAGTGCGGTTGTAATCCAGGACGATGTGATTTATGGGCACTGAAATGGTATTTTCATATTAGATTCTTGAGTTCCTAAATATTATTTTACTTTCCCCCCAACACATGTGTAACCCATGAACACATATAGAGGTATCAGGATAGATTTGACCCATTTGTCATAGTCTAGATTCTCTAGGTCAAACTTTCAACTTGCTAAAGAAATTATTTGGATATAAAAATGGTAATGAAGGAAGAAACATTCTTCAAGACTGTAGTGAGAGTGAAGGGGTACTGGGTTCAAGTCCAACAATTCTGGGTTTATAACCAGTGAGCAGGATGGGTTGGGCGTGGGGATGAGACCAAAGGGTTAAGGTGTTCTTACTGAACTGACTGCATTCTGGCTGAAGGCAAGATCAAAAGCCTTTCACATCAAAGGCAGAGGATGCGAAGTGTGATCCAGACTGGAGGGCAGATTTCTCTCTAAACGAGTCAATCAGATTCCTGCAAACATGAGTTGGGCAGGCCCAGCGTGGGCCAAGGTAAGAGACGGTTAAGAGGAGGCTCGGAGTCCGGCTGAGTTTGGTGAAACCACACCCACAAACCTCCTTGGTAGTCATGGGTATAGGAGATCTAGCCATGTACAAAGACACCGAAAAATCAGGTGAGAACTAAGCACATGCGCTTGTTTTTATTAGACCAGCTTGCCAAAAATGTAGGATCCTAAAGATGTCAAACCTTCACCATGACTTATGCCAGTCCACCCCATAATAACGCCGCCTGTCCTTTCCCCACTACTTACAATGAGCAATTTATGCAGTAAGGAAATAGCTGGCAGTTGTCTTCACAGATGAAGTCAATGCCGTCTCGTTTCTTTGCCAAAAAAGCCAGGGAAACCAATTGCTGGGCTCCTCTCCCCCGGGGCTACGCAAGGCCGGTTGATGCAGACATCGGGCAGGGCTCCGCCAGAGATGGGGAATGGGGAGCCTACTCTAGTTTTTAAAAAATAGTAATTTGTTAAGAGTCTTGGCTTTTGGTTCTTTTTTACTGACACTTAAGCCGCAGTGCTTAAAACATTTTCAGACTAGATGTCTCTATGGAAACCCAAGAAAACGTGTATGTTTATGGTCAAATGATGGCCTAGAGCTCTCTGTCCTATTGGATCATGCTAGGCCATCAGTGATGTTGGACAGAACTTAGACTTGTTTTTCTGAAATCCTGTCAATTCCAGTGAAAGTTATATAATTATTACTTTTGCTGAGACAAAAGTGAAGAGGAGAAAGAGATTATCGCTAAACATGTTCTTATGAGGAAAAAAAAAGAGTTTGGTGAATTTGGGCAGCCATCACGAAAGAGAAAAATTGCAACTGAATAATTGCACAGCTGCCTTTAAATGTATATCCTTAAATCTCCTTCTCATCAGTGTCAAACATACTTGCTTTAAAAGCTGTAACAATTCTCTCCCTTACAGACTGCTTACACAATGCAATGGGGTGGGGGAGGGGGGACAAATTATACAGTGAACGAATGAGTGCTTTTGAGCAGGTGACCAAAATGATCATCACCTGTAGAGTCGGTCTGCTGGGAGCCTCCAGTTGTAAGATCATGAGAGCAACATGCTGCCCAGAACCCACATCATGAATCCAATCATGAGAAAACATCAAGCCAGGGTTTCGTTGGTAAGGAGCGTTCTATTATTTAGACAGTGACAATAATGACAAAGCAAGCAGCAGTCAAAGCTGGGGGGGAGAGCAAGGACTACTACCAAAACTAGTCAGTGGGGCTGAAGATGGGCTTCAGCGAGAGCGCGCTTAGCATAACAAAGATCAGGGGTTCCATCCCCAGCACCACCCAGAAAACGTTCATGGCACAGAAGACAAGAAATCTATGTAAAAGTTGCTGAAGATGTAAGACAACTAAATGCAACTATACAGTGGCTATACAAGATAATAGCATATGATTATCATATGATCATCAAATACTCAAAGCACTTCTGGGTAAAAGCCCATGATGCATCACACGTGTGCACACGCACGCACACACAAACAAACACACACACACACACACACACACACACACGAAACCTCCAAAATGGTGAAAAAAATGAACAGTTCTTGCCTACATTGGAGTTTTCCTTATGATATTCCAAATACAACTTGGGAAGAGGCACTTGTGCCAGAGAATAAGAAAGCACAAACAAAGATATTCCAGCACAATCCTTTATCCGTGATTGAAGGCTGCCATCCCATTATAGACCACCCATTCTCAGCAGAGATTGTTCCAAAAACCAGCAAACCCTGGACGCTACAGCAGCTCAGATGTAATCCTTTCCCCCAGTCTCTCTGAATAGGGCAGTGACTATAACCTTTTGGCATCCCACAACTTCCAGAACTATCTCATGCACAAAGAAAGTCTCTTGGCTGGTTGCTTAGGTGGTTCAAGTATCAACTGGAAGCACATTTTGGAGCTAGGACATCTTACCATTATGAGGCATGGTGAGTTGCTATACAGTATGTTACTCAAGAAACTAGAACACCTCTTCATACGTCCACAGCACCACATTAGCACATGGAAATGACTATCTGAAATTCTACACACCTGCTGTCCTCAAAGACCTCTTGAGGTTCTGCATCGGCACTGCAGTCTGCAATATTCTACCTAAATTAAGTGATCTCCCCAAAGGATGGGGCAACTCTACCTCCATTCAAACATCCAGGTCAGTCAGTCAGTCACTGATCATGCAAATAGAAGTAAACTAAATTTTTCAGCTATGTCTAGGAACCAAGAAATACTACTTACCATTCTCTAAAAACATAGCAAAAGCAGAACATATATATACTGCACATTCCTAACCTTCCCTGCTTATCACTGTATTTTAATTCTTTAAGGAGTGATTCTATATATTATTTGTCTTTATGATTTTTTAAATCTAAGATAGTCTCAATCATGCAACCTCCCTCCCCAAAATAATTTTATTTATCCAAGTTTACCAAGAACCTACTGGTCACGAGATGTTCAGCCCGTCTTACTGGGTGGTACTCTACTCTCCTATAAATAATCTACAAGAAAATGATACAAAGACAATGAATGTAATGAACTCTGCATGCAAAACAACATTAAGGAGCCAAAAGTGGATTATGACTAACTGCAAAAAAAAAGAGAACAAGCTAATCAAGGCACTAAAATTTACTGAGAAGACAAATTTTAGAGTAGGTAAAATTGAAGGTGCATGCATCATTGTTGTAGATTTGAAACCATGCATATCCTTCCCCATAAAATGTCTCAAATGCCGTTAAAAACACCACACGCAAAACCAAGCAATTATAAGTCCTTCGAAGCATGTAACTGTGATTAGCTGCTACTCTCAGCAATATAAAAATACTTCCACCACAATTACATTCCAGTCTGTAAAGTAATTCAAAACAAACAAGTTGGAGACATCGCTCAAATGGCAGAAGCAACAAATACAGATGCTTTGTATCAAGGAAATGAACCCACTGAAGAAATGAACCCATCTGAGGAGCGGTCCTCAGGGACCTGGCACTAGGCTGCTGGTGGGACGCTGAGGCCCCCTTCTGGGAAGAGACGTATACTGCACCCGGGGCAGCTCTGCTACACGTCAGGACACTTCTTGCACCCAGTTAACACTGAAAGTTTTGCTGTGGATATTCTTTCCTGTGCAGTTTCAAATTTTAGGTATTAAATTTAACAGTTATAACCTGTATTTTCAAACGAGGAATAACTGATTTCGGATTAAATGTATCATGCTACTTAATTCTGCAACTGGCATTCACACCAGTGGGCATTCTTCTTCACCTTGTTCCTTTTTACTTTCGCTGTAACTTTTTGCTTTGACAGTGTCTTGTTGAACTCCCTCTGCCTTCCAAGTGATGGGGTTACAGATGTGTATCACTATGCCCAACTTTTGTTGGAACTCTTCACCCTCCAGTATATAACTACATTTTTTTCATCCATCTCTCCTTGTGAGAATACAATCTCGCTGAGACAGAAGACCCTGTTTTGGTTCAGGGAATCAAAGAACTGTCTTGTTTGTTATTGTCCTTTAATGCTTTGCCCCTTCGAAACAGAAATAACTTAAGATTCTATTATAGCAACGTGGTACAATTTTTAAATGACTTTAGGCACTTGTTTAAAAGCATTTTTCTATGTATTTAATAAAATCAATAGATTTCATAGTCACATGTATACAGTGTATACAAATAATATACAGTGTAGAAAAAAGCCAGACTTGCCCAGCACTGGTGGCTAACACCTGAATCCTAGCGACTAAAAAATGCTGAGATCGGAGGGTCAGAGTTTGAAGCCAGGCTGGGGGGAAAAGTCCATGAGACTCATCTGCAGTTAACCAACATAAAGCTAGGACTGGAGGTGTGACACAAGTTTGAGCGAAAAAGCCAGAGAGTGACATCTGAGTTCAAGCCCTAAAGCCAACACACACACAAACACACTCACACTCATGCAGCCAATACACTGGGAGACCACAACAGCTATAAAGAATGAAAATCCAACTCCACCTCCAAAAAGCCAGTTGTAAAGGACACACGTGACCATGGCTTTCTAGTCCAAATGAGTGCAGGTGACGGGGTGTGCATGGACACTCTGAAATCCCAGCCTACACTCAGCTGGAATGAAGCTGTGGCTTAAAGACATGTACTGTTTGCTAATTCCTAAAACCTCAAACTTTAGTTTTTCCCCCCCTTCATAAAAATGTTCTTTCAGCTGTGGAGAAGCTAATAGTTGTTTACAATTGTCAGCCTTTTAAAAAGCACTAATTTGTTCCCTTAAGAGAGCAAATGTTATTCTCCGTCTTCCCGGAGAATAACAAACAACACATACTATATGCTCCCTCCATGCCAGCAGCTTTTCAGGCTGGGGATTCCATCCAGGTCACCGTGGGGCTTTTGTCTTTCATTACAAGTTCAGGATTTCTGACATTCCTTCTTCCGAACTTTTGATTTTGGTGCTGTGAAAAGAATAGAAAAAGAAATAAAAAATGAGAACTAGACTCTTATCAGATTCTTTCCATACTAACTTGCTTTTGATTTTGTTGTGTGTGTGTGTATGTGCGCGGCAGTACGGGAGACTGAACTCAGGGCCTTGGCTTTTCCATTCAAGGCTGGTGTTCTACCACTTGAGCTAGCGCTCCAGTTCCAACCTTTTGCTAGATAATTGTAGCATCTCACAAACTTTCTTACCTGGATTGGCTTCAAACAGAGATCCTCAGATCTCAGTCTCCTTTGTAGTTGGGATTATGGGTGTGAGCCACCAACACCCAGCCATACTGACTTGTTTGAACAGAGGTGCATTACATGCAGCAGGGGAAAACTAACCATTAGGATTTTCTTGCTTGTAGAAGGCCTTTAACAGTTCCACAGCTTCCTCAGCCCGATATCCAGGGATGCACTGATGAAATGAAGGAGAGAACGAACACAAACCTATGAACACATGGGCGGTGTCCATAAAAACACCAGTGCGTGCCCTGCTGCACATACACAGCCTCCAGACACATAGCTCCTTTGGGGATACTAGGACACTAGTAGAGGTGAAGATGTACATTTCAAGAAGACAAAATTTAATTCATTTTATCATTTATCATTACTTTATCACAATTACATGAGTCAGGTAATGAGTACATTTCCTTTCATACAGAATGCAGTGGACGTCTTGACTAAGTCAAACACGGTAATCTTCTACTACTGTGGGATCTTGGGAAAAGTACTTAAACCCTCTGCACACGCAAGTAGGTAATGACTTCACTTACCCAAAATACATTGTCAGGAGTAAATGACACAATCTGTAAATGTTTGGCACATCCTAAGTGCTCATTAAGCATCAGCTATGTTATCTACTTTTGTTAACTGGTGTCCTGATAAGTGATGGTATACGGGTGGGGTACCTGGCTCAGAGTGCCAACAACAAAGCTGCTCATAGAGGCTAAAATATCTATCTACTCTTTTACCTAAAAAAGTCTGTCAGGGTTTGCTACATAAGATTTAACAAGTATGTTCAGTTTGTTTTGGGGATCCAAATGGAGAGAAGGGATCGTAACACGGGAAAGAAGAAGGAAGGAACTGTGGGTGGTTCGGTGGTGCAGGGAATACTACATGTGAACGATAAAAGCTGAGTGAAAGGGGCCGGGCGGCGTGCTTCAGGGAGGGTGACTGTCAGGGGGTGTGAGCAACCAGGGATGGACTGGCTGGAGAGTGGGGAAGGTGGGGGCCAAGCACACAGGGCTCTCAGAGCTGGTCAGGAGAGTTTAGAACTGACCCAGTGAAATCTTGTGAAATGCACACAATCACCTATTTGTCCCTAAATGCAGTGCCTGGGAGAGGAAGGGGCCCAGCCGCACAGACAGGAGGACGGGCCACCCGGGGTGCTGTTCAGAATGAACCTCCCTTCCCGGAGTCTCAGCCTGCTCCTGCCTAGGCCGTGTGAAGCCGGCACAGGGTTTCTCCATAGAAATGGGAGAACTTCCACCCTGTCCCCGCACCAACTGCTGCCCTCCTCCCGCCACAAAACATTCCTGCTGACATGCTCCGTGCGAGATGCGAGTCCTGGAAGAGAAGGAAGCGGCACAGCAGATTGTATTACCTGAAATGGTTTTCCCGTATTTGGTAAGTCAGCAGAGGCAACATTTAGAACGGAGCCACAGCCACCAAATCGTTCATTCTGACAGCCGTAGACGACCAGCGGGATTTATAAACAGAGTTAAGGCCCGGGTAGGATGTACAGTATGGTGGCCACATGAGGGTGGGTTGAGATTGGCCACCCTGGACAATAGTTCAGCCTGGAATGAGTCTGGTTACACAAGACAAGGAGGTTTAGGATAGTTAGAAATTACCATCTGATAACTGCAAAGAGAATTAAAACTGAGTGTATGGTTTCACAGTTGAGTGGGTTCTCTGACTTTTCCTCAAGCACTTATTCAGCATCATTAGAAAACCAGAGATAGGAAGTTAATCCCAGGACTTTCCTATCAACTGATTGCTTCCTGTAATTTCCCAAGTCCACCTGAGCCCAGTAGAAATAGACTATGGCTGAGTGACTAGGAGACAAGAGAGAATTCTAAGTTGCGCATCCTTTATTGAGATTGTATATTGTATGTATATTGTATTACATGTTAAAAACCCCTTGTGGTTTTTTTTTCTTTTTATATTGGTACTGGGGGGGGGGTCTTGGACTTAGAGCTTCACACTCTTGCTCAGCTTTTTCATTCATGGCTAATGCTTACCACTTGAATCATACTTTTAGTTCTGGCTTTTTGCTGGTTAATTGGAGATAAAGAGTCTCATGGATTCGTCTGTCTAGGCTGGCTTTGTACCATGATCTCCACATCTCAGCCTTGAGTAATTACAATTATAAATACATGCCTCCAGCACCCTAATTCTGTGTTATTTTAACTTTATTTATTAATTTTTCTTTTGGGCAGTACTGGCATTTCTTCAAGGCATTGTGCTTGCTATGTAAGCATTCCCCAGGCTAACCAGAATCAAGATCCTATTTATGGTTTCTATATTGCTGTGATATGCACCAAACCCACCTGTTTATTGATCAAGAGGGAGGTTTGTAAACTCCTTGCACGGATTGGCCTCAAACTGAGATCCCCTCCATCTCGGTCTCCCAAGGAGCTAGGCTTAGAGTTGTGAGCCACTGAGCCCAGCTTGTGCTATTTTTAAAGTAATAAAAAATTATTTGAAAACACATCATTTTAAAAGTACATGAAAATGCAGGAATGAAATTGAGTTTCTGAATTTTTACCATGATTCAAGTATCTCAACCTCTTGAGAAGCTAGGATTGTAAGCCTGAGCCACTGGGACCTGACCTTTCAAACAAATGTTTCTCGAAGACTGTTAGTGATAAGGAGTGTAGCTAAGTGATAAGAGTGCTCATCGAGCACGTGTAAAGCCCGGGTGTTTAATCCTTAATCACCACAAACAAACAAGCAAACCAACCCATCTTTAGCAATGACTACACTCAGTATTTGTTGCTTGCTCTATGCAAGAAACTCAAACAACTGCAAGTATATTAATTTCCATGTATGTAAAGTAGAATATTATAAATCAGTGTTTAGTTTATTTACTTTCAGCTTAATTTTTTAATACTTTGGCATAGGTATTCATGGCAAAAACAGATAAACATATTCAAAAACCCACTATCCAAAGGCCAGACACAGATAAACATATTCAAAAACCCACTATCCAAAGGCCAGACACAGGTGCATACTTTTCAGGCCTCCCCCTACCACTGACTTTAAATGAATTTGGGTGTCATCCTTACTCAACTGAAATTTGTCTTACTCTTTCCTTTCTCTGCCTTCTTTATTCAACAGTTCTACATTTATTAGTATGAAAGAAATAAGTAACCTTACTATGTAAAAGGCTTTCCCTTTTTGGTTAGGAGATACTGTATTTTACCACTTATTTCATTAAGTCTTGTGTTTTCATATATGTGCTTTCATATATTTGGTTGGGGTATAGGTCAAGGGAATGTGCAAGGGAAAGGAAAAGGAAAAGGAAAAGGGGGAAGGAGAGGAAGAGGGGAAGGGCACGGGAGAAGAAGGGAATAAGAGAAGGATGGGGGTGAGGAGGCAGGGAGGGGGGAGGGTAAAAGGAAGGAAAGAAGGAAGGAAGGGTGGAATGAATAGGTTATGTCATGTGCAGGGCCATTTTCCTGTTCACAGGAAGAGCCAACCCCGAACCTCTCTCTGGAGTCCAAGGATACTCATCAGGCGGAGAGCAGCTGCACACATAATGCACGGCTCCACAGTGACATACAGCACGGTACGTTCAAACACGGCAGAAGGACTCTGGCCATTTCGTTGACACCAATCTAGGACTTGATCAATGGCCACCATTTCTGCATGTCGAGTAGCCTTAAGAGAGAGATACTTACATTGATGCTTACACTGAGTATGTTTCACATAACTGCTATTTTATAAATACCCAAAACACATATATAAAAATCATTTCTAATGAATGGGGCTTCAGGACTGCTTAGCAGTCGACCGTCTACTCTCCATCTCCAGGTCCCATATCTCACCAACAGTTCCAGGAGAATCTGCCTTGATTCTCAGTTAAGTTCTTAGAGAGCATTTTCAATTACAATGTGACACTGATCAGTGTTCAATGTACTCATATACTACTACTTTGTTGAATGGCAACTCCTTTATCCAACTACTTAAAGATAAAAATGTTTAAAAAGTACTATATCCACCAAAAAAAAAAAGTGTCTATGGTCTCTGGTATTCTAAGGAAGCTTGAAATTCTTGTTCGTTTTTGCTTCCCTTTCAGGGCTCTTGTAGAGGTCACTCAAAGCTAACTGATACTTAGGCTCTTAGAATGCCACCACTTACATTTGTGGGATGCAGTTTTATATACTGGCACACTCTGGAGAAGCAGAGATTTGGTGATTAGTCTCCCATACATGACTAGGTATATACACAGGAGGCAGTAGCATGGGAGAAGTCACACAGAATGTGGAATTTCAGTTCAAATCCTGACAGGAACTCCACTGACTAAGTGGTCTTACTACTATGTGGACAAGTTACCTCCCTTCTCTAAGTCTTAGTTTCCTCTCTATTCAGTGGGGCGTACTGGTATCCACCCTCCCTACCTCTTAGAACAATCTAATTCTATTCATATCCTCACTTTCCCTTTGGTTCCCTGATCAAAACCTTAATGTGAACACTAGATCACCTATGCAATAATTATTTATATGTCCATTACAATTACATGGCACTGCCATATCAATAATTTGTTGAAGTTCAAGATACTGTGCTAAATACATTCTGTGTAGGATAAAAAAAAACAACTGCCCACAAGAAGCATAAAATCAGGCAGGGCCAAGTGAAAGACACTCATGTACCTATGACCTAGGGCCTGGTGTGAAGTGAGGCCAGTGCTCTGTGGAAGCCAGAGGCAGGTAGCAGCAAGCTGGGTGGGGTTTGCACAGAGAATCCCAGCATCAAAAACTCAGAGATCACTGGGCGCCGGTGGCTCACGCCTGTAATCCTAGCTACTCAGGAGGCTGAAATCTGAGGATCTCAGTTTGAAGCCAGCCCAGGCAGGAAAGTCCGTGAGACTCATCTCCAAAAAACCACTAGAAAACCGGAAGTGGAGCTGTGGCTCAAGCAGTAGAGCACTTGCTTTGAGCTGACGAGCACAGGGACAGCACTCAAGCCCAGAGTTCAAGCCCCACGACTGACCAAAAACAAAACAAACTCAGAGATGGAAGGTACTTTAGAGAAGACAGAGCAGTCCTAGCTGAAGCTTTCCCAATCTGAGTACTATTTAAAACTCACACTCATTATTCCCAAATGTATCTCCCCATAACGCTCAACAAATAACTGATGGATGGAATCAGCTCCGTCAACTCCTCCTTTCACTGCTGAGGAAATGTCAGCATTCACTGAGCATACAGAGAAAAGAGGAAGTGGTATGGTTTTAGAGCCAAAAGTGGAGCTCAGGCGTCCTCAGTTGGGGTTCAAGAGTATATTCAAAGGTTAATCTAAATGACAAACGATACCAAAACAGATCCAGTTAAACCCAGGATATGAAAAAAAAATCCACGCTGTGGGAGGTTGTTGGAAACTCTGTACCACTGAAATATCTGGTATGGAAATAAATTCTTCTTAGACTGAGCATGGTGGTACATCTTGAAATCCTAGCTATTCAGGAGGTAGAAATTGGGACTATTATGCTTTAGAGGCCAGCCCAAGTTAAAAACAAACAAACAAACAACTAGTAAGACATCTTCATCTCAAGAAATGAGCTAGGCATAGTGTTATGTCCCTGTAATCTAAGCTACACAGAAAGCAAAAGAAAGAGGACTGCTGTCTGAGGTTGGCCCTGGGCAAAAATGTGAGACCCTATCCAAAAAACAACTAAAGCAAAAAAAGGTCTAAGGATGTAGTTTAACAGGTAGAGCACCCGCTTAGCAAATACATGGCCCTCAGTTCAAGCCCCAATAGTGTCCCCCCCCAAAAAAAGGAAATAAGCCCCTTTATATAATTCCTTTGTATCTCCCTCCAAAGTTATAAATTGAGGTTGATTTTTTAAAAAGTTATTAAGAGGAAAACATTTAAAGGCCCTAAAGAATGTATCACAAGTTAAATTTATCTATTTTGTAATGTGGGATTTTCTATGGATTAGATTTGCTTAAAGTGGAGACAGAATTGTTTCTTTCTTGCTGACACTTAATATAACAAAATTCCTTCTTGGTTTCATTCAAGTGTTGAACTTTGTGAAACAGAAAATCCACAAGGATCTTAAAGCTCCATCAAGTTTTTCCACAGCTAAAACAAATTAACAAACAAACAAAAAAATCACTGTATCGCCGTTACACTCAGAAACAATACCACTCAACAACAAGACGCTAAGGGCTCCTCCTCCAGCACAGACCACTGAGGCCCCCTCCACCTCACCATCCGCCAGCCAAGTGCCGCGAAGCCACGCTGCCCCACCTCCGACGCCTCATTCACGTACATTTTTGGTTTGATTCACTTCATTTCTTCCCTTCCCCACGATTTCATTGTTGTAGACCATAAGACAGCCAACAGGAACTTCAGTATTTTCAAGGGCGTCTTTGGCCTAAAACAAAGTAGAAATGCCTGAGATGTAAAGTTCCGTACTTGAAAAGCCCACAGGGAAGAAACAGGTGTAGCATGGACAGGACATAGATTGTAGACTCACTGGACCTGCAGGAAGATTTGCAAATGCTAACACATTGTCCTGTGAGGCACATGAGCATTTGTTAGTTACAGCGACTGGATGTATTGTAAGCAACAAGATTCAATTAGTCAGACTTTTCTGGGCAATTTCAGTAACACATTTCTGGGGCTGTGATTGTTCTGAAGACAGAGTAATCACTGTGAGAAGCACAAGGAAAAATCAATCCCAAGTAACACCAAAAGAAAATGCAGCAAAGCTTTCCCTTTTCTCAAATCCAGCTCTTCTGCCATACTGAGGCGCTCATGTTCTGCACTGTGTGCCCACGTGCAGGAAGAGTCTTCAAAGGCTCTGGCCTGACTTCTCACCTGGGAAGCACAGGGAGCCAAAGGAACATTACTGACCAGAGCCCAAAGTCACTTCCTATTTACAAAGAGGTGAGAATCCACAACCTCTGTAAACCCTCCTCTGAAACGTGCTCCTTTGTGAAAATCCTATTTGCTTAATTTTTTTTGCTTCTCTAAAATTATGGAACTGATCCCCTAGAGCCTCAATAGCATAAAGGTGATGAAGCTGGATGTCACTTTGTCCCACGGTTATTGTTGGGTTTTTTTTGTTTTTGTTTTTGGAGGTGGTGGTGGTGGTGATTGAACTCTGGGCCTGGGCGCTGTCCCTCAGCTCTTCAGCTCAAGGCTAGCATTCTACCACTTGACCCACAGCACCGGCTTTTATCTGCTTATGTGATGCTGAACCCTGGGCCTCATGCATGCGAGGCAAGCACTCTACCACTGAACCAACTTCTCAGCCCTGTCCCATGTTTTTTATTCTTAGTGAGACAATCAAAGTTTAGGTGTACTATTAACATTTTGAAAACTTTTCTCTTTTTTTTTTTTAATTTTTTTTTGGGTCCGGTCGTGGGCCTGAACTCTGGGCCTGGGCACTGTCCCTCAGCTCTTCAGCTCAAGGCTAGCGCTCTACCACTTGAGCCCCAGCGCCACTTCCGGCTTTTTTCTTTCTGCTTATGTGGTGCTGAGGAATCGAACCCAGGGCCTCTGGCAAGCAAGGCAAGCGCTCTACCACTGAGCCACCTTCCCAGCCCTGAAAACTCTTTTCTTAATGTATTTAATATACATATAATTCATGACCCAAATTTCTTATGACCCAAATTTCACAGAAATATACACACAGACACAAACACTCCTATGTGCATAAAACGGATGAAATCTCCTGAAGTCCTGCAGAGTGTGTCAATGAAATATGCCTACTTTTAATACTGTACTGTAGTGACGCCAGGTGTTCAGAGGAGAAAACTAGAAACTTGGACCTTCCCTGTTCAGTTTTTTGTTTGTTTTTGTTTGCAATTTCCTGTGACTTATAATTATTTCAAAATGAAAAGTTACAAAGTTGAAAAGTTAAAGGTTGAAAAGTAAATATAAGTAAACAAGTACCACCTTGCAATGGAGATTAGGAAGGGATGCCTACTGAAACAGAAGTAAAACAGATAGTATTTAATACCATAAAGACCTCAGGAAATGCAAGGACAAAAAAACAAAAGAGATAGGGGGTCTACTGCCTTGCAGGACTCAGTGACACAGAGCAGAGGTCATTTGTATGGGATGGAAGAAGTAAGGAAGTGGCTTGAAAAGTGACATTTCTATGGGTTAAACTTCTGGCTTCCTACTATACTTTTCCCAACAAACCTCTTAAGAGGCAATGTTATGTCTCTGTCTCAAGTGTTCCAATTCTGAGGACTTGAAAATACAAGGGCTAATGACTATCTGAAAGCCTGGTTTTCCTGGGACCAGTTTAAGCACTAAGTATCAATTCATTTGGTTTATAAGCTTACCAGTCAGGTATAATGGACCTCCTCTGTTCCACCAATGAGGAGACTGAGGCACAGACAGTCAGATGGCTCGCCCATGCTAGAGAGCTGGTCTCGAATACAGACATCTTGGTTCTTCTTCATTCACTTGCTCAACACACTGTGTGCGAACTCACCAGATATCAAGTTCCAGGGCTCTTGGCCCTGTTCTGCCTTGCATCTCTTTGGGAACCACTTCATTTCACTGATCAGCTGTTTTACCAGGGTTTGGGTTTAGAAATGGGTCAAGTGACAAAAAGAGGGAAGGTTGGCAAGTGAAACATGGAAAATTTAGGGTTTAAAAACCAAAATCCTGTAGGCATCTGTTTGGGAAGGCCTTTCTATAAACCGACCTCCTTAAAGAACTCTTAAGTAAAAACAAGTATAACCGTGGGAGCCATTTCAAACATGCAGAAGATACTCTGAGACCACATCTAATGCACTCAGGTGGAAGGGGAGGGGAGCCAAGGAGTCCTGTGTTGTCTGCAGGAGGCCTGCTTTATTCACTTGAGCATGGAAGCACTGCAGGAGTGCTATAAGCCTGCAGCCTCTCTCTGTTCCCAGGTGGCCAGAGGTCTGGGCCTGTGCTGTAAGCCTGCAGCCTCTCTCTGTTCCCAGGCGGCCAGAGGTCTGGGCCTGTTGGTGCTTTCCTTTACTCCTTCTGGGTTTTTCCTCTTTATTCCTCTGGCAAATTTGTGTTGTTAGAAAACATTAAGAACTGGAGTGTTTTTAAAGGACAAATCACATCATTGAGGAGTGGCCTAGCTGGTTGTGCTGAGGGTCTGATTGTAGGAGAGCCACTGATCCGCAGGTTAGGGAGGAGGTGGTGAGAAGGACACAAAGCCCAGGGAAGTGAGCCTAAGGGAACTCTTCCAATAGTGCACACATGCACTGACTCCAGTGACAAGCTTAAAACAGACTTAATTAAGCTGAAAATCAGTTTCACTCTATCCCGCCTCATACTTTCCCAGGTTCGGCCCCACCTCTTCTGTCCAGTCTAATCATAAGAGTTTAAGCAAAGTGGGTTTGAAACATGGGCATAGCTTTGAACTTAACAGACTTTTTGTGATTTTTTTTT